CTCCACTGGACCTCTTATCCCATAGTTATCTCCAATGGACCTTTTATCCCATAGTTTAGTCTCCACTGGACCTTTTATCTCATAGTTTAGTCTCCACTGGACCTCTTATCCCGTAGTTCAGTCTCCACTGGATCTCTTATCCCTTAGTTATCTTCACTGCACCTCTTATCCCATTGTTGTCTCCAATGGACCTCTTATCCCATAGTTGTCTCCACTGAACCTCTTATCCCATAGTTCAGTCTCCACTGGACCTCTTATCCCATAGTTCAGTCTCCACTGGACCTCTTATCCCTTAGTTCAGTCTCCACTGGACCTTTTATCCCATAGTTGTCTCCACTGCACCTCTTATCCCATAGTTCAGTCTCCACTGCACCTCTTATCCCATAGTTCAGTCTCCACTGAACCTCTTATCCCATAGTTCAGTCTCCACTGAACCTTTTATTTATCCCATGGTTCAATATCCAATGGTTCTCTTTTTCCATAGTTCAAACTCCACTGGACATTTTGTCCCATAGTTCAGTCACCCCCCCCTGGTCCTCATATCCCATCATTCAGTCTCCAATGGACCAATTGTCACATAAATCAGTCACCTGAATCTTGTCCCATTATTCAGTCTCCAATGGATCAATTGTCACATAGTTCAGTCACCTGAATCTTGTCCCATCATTCTGTCTCCAATGGACCAATTGTCACATAGTTCAATCACCTGAATCTTGTCCCATCATTCTGTCTCCAATGGACCAATTGTCACATAGTTCAGTCACCTGAATCTTGTCCCATCATTCTGTCTCCAATGGACCAATTGTCCCATAGTTCAGTCACCTGAATCTTGTCCCATCATTCAGTCTCCAATGGACCAATTGTCCCATAGTTCAGTCACCTGAATCTTGTCCCATCATTATGTCTCCAATGGACCAATTGTCCCATAGTTCAGTCACCTGAATCTTGTCCCATCATTCTGTCTTCACTGGTATTTAGTTTATGTTAAATTAAAAAGTAGTGTTTATATAAAAGTATTTTTTATGTACTAACAACATATCATTGATGTCATCGCCTCACTAAAAGTAGACCATACTGACCTAACATTGATGTCATCGCCTCACTAAAAGTAGACCATACTGACCTATCATTGATGTCATCGCCTCACTAAAAGTAGTCCATACTGACCTATCATTGATGTCATCGCCTCACTAAAAGTAGACCATACTGACCTATCATTGATGTCATCGCCTCACTAAAAGTAGACCATACTGACCTATCATTGATGTCATCGCCTCACTAAAAGTAGACCATACTGACCTATCATTGATGTCATCGCCTCACTAAAAGTAGACCATACTGACCTATCATTGATGTCATCGCCTCACTAAAAGTAGACCATACTGACCTATCATTGATGTCATCGCCTCACTAAAAGTAGACCATACTGACCTATCATTGATGTCATCGCCTCACTAAGAGCAGACCATACTGACCTATCATTGATGTCATCACCTCACTAAAAGTAGACCATACTGACATAACATTGATGTCATCGCCTCACTAAGAGCAGACCATACTGACCTATCATTGATGTCATCGCCTCACTAAAAGTAGACCATACTGACCTATCATTGATGTCATCGCCTCACTAAAAGTAGACCATACTGACATAACATTGATGTCATCCCCTCATTAAGAGTAGACCATACTGACCTATCATTGATGTCATCAGCACACAAAGTAAGAGTGGACCGTTTTTACTTATCACTGCTATCGTCACCTCACTAAGAGTTATGTCATCGCCATCAGGAAGTACATATTGTCTCCCCTGAGTTGAATGTTGGATGTAACGAACTATATTTGAACAAAGAGTGGACTATACGGACCTTACATTGATGTCATCACCACACTAAGAGTGGACTGCACTGACCTATCATTAATTTAAAAACATCACCCCTCCTTACATTGACATAATGACACCCCCCCTCCCAATCTAATTTTCGGCTCATAAAATATTTTGGTTTCAAATAAATTCTCTCCCCCCGGGGGTGGGGCGAGTTTTTCTAGTGGCTGGTAACTGGATACGATTATTTAGATTTTGTCACACCCCCCCCTCCCCTCGGGTCTGCTCTAGTGTAGGGCAGTTAAAGTTTAACAACATAAATAGCGATTCCGTTTTCACTTTTCAGGCAGTAGGTAAATGAGTGAAAGCCAAGGAGGAGACGCAACAAACAGGAAGTACATATATTGTCTCCCCTGAGTTGCATTTGGGATGTGATGAAGGTTTTAAACTAGATTTGATAACACGTCTATTATTAGCCAGAGAACAATAGGAGATTGACTTGAAATAGCCAGTGTAAATCTGGATCGTAAAATAAAATGTTATTTGAAACATGCGAGGTGATTGTGTGGCTTGGGAGAATCAAACTGCTCATGTGCAGTTCTTAACACGCACTTCCGGTGTGCATCCCACTACCCACGCCAGCTGAGGTGCCGGGGAAATACTTGTGGAATATTCGTACTCTTTCATGTCATACTGTCATTCTGTTGGACAACTTCTTCTAGAAGTAGAAGTCAGTTTCACATATTAACCCAGATTTTACTTTTTTTGAAAACATTACTTTCTTTTTTTTTTTCATACAGTATGTGTGTGTGTGTGTGTGTCTTCTTCTATGATTCTTCTTTTATATTTAGATTGTCTCATTCGTTTCTCTTTATTTAACCATGTTTCACTTTCAAGCATTTCTTTTTATCTCCTTCTCTCTTACCCACTCTTATTATGTTTCGGATGTCCTTCTCTCTTACCCGCTCTTATTCTGTTTTGGATGTCCTTCTCTCTTACCTGCTCTTATTCTGTTTTGGATGTCCTTCTCTCTTACCCAATCTTATTCTGTTTTGGATGTCCTTCTCTCTTACCCGCTCTTATTCTGTTTCGGATGTCCTTCTCTCTTACCCACTCTTATTTTGTTTCGGATGTCCTCCTCTCTTACCCACTCTTATTCTGTTTTGGATGTCCTCCTCTCTTACCCACTCTTATTCTGTTTTGGATGTCCTCCTCTCTTACCCACTCTTATTCTGTTTTGGATGTCCTTCTCTCTTACCCACTCTTATTCTGTTTCGGAGTTCCTTCTCTCTTACCCACTCTTATTCTGTTTCGGATGTCCTTCTCTCTTACTTCTTACCCACTCTTATTCTGTTTCGGATGTCCTTCTCTTAATATATTTAACAGATCAGCTAAAACAGGTCAGGTCTACACCATAGTTATTATAAGTCACATATCAGTGATCAGCTATAACTATAACAGGTCAGATCAACACCATAGTTATGGTACCAAGTACAGTATCTGTAAATACCTTCCTTCATACAAATAATACAATGGTGCTAGACTCGTGCAGCTCCAGGCAGTTCTTAGAAGGCAAAAATGTGGTTTCTTAAAGGCCAAGATCTTTTTTAAAAGTATCTTTTATACCATCTCTAATCCTGAAATATATATTTATTGCAGTATCTAATTTATAACAATGTGTGAGCAGCCCAGAAGTACTAAACAAAAAAAGTACTAAACAACAAAAGTACTAAACAACAAAAGTACTAAATAGATGAAAGATGCACTTATATTTAACATGATTTATCAGCAGTTTTACAAAATGTTTTACAATAGTAACGAATGAGAAAATATTGAAGGAAACATTTGGTCCTTATGTGGAGACAGAGAATACTAAGATGCCATCATGACCATATTATAATGCCATAGCAGACCTGTTTACCCTCAAACTCTTAAAATCGTACAATATCATCACAAAATTGTTCAAAACCTTTTATTTATAGTAAAAAATAAACATACAGTATATTATATGTTTACCCAAAATCGTAAGAGTAAACAGGTCTGCCATAGGATGTCCATTCTACTTTACTCTAGTCAATTACAACCTAGAATGTCCATTGCCTTTTGATCCAGTGAATTACAACTAAGGATGTCCATACAATGTGATCCAGTCAATTAAAACTAATGATGTCCATTCGCTTTTGATCCCTTCAGTTACCACTAAGGATCTCCATTCCCTTTTTTACCAATCAGTTACAACTCAAGGATGTCCATTCCCTTTTTAACCAATCAGTTACCACTAAGGATCTCCATTCCCTTTTTAACCAATCAGTTACAACTCAAGGATGTCCATTCCCTTTTTATCTAGTCAGTTACAACTCAGGATGTCCATTACCTTTTGATCCAGTTAGTTACAACTCAGGATGTTAATTTTTTCTCTTGGTAGAAAGTTGGGGAAGACACACCCAACAATTTTATTACCAATCTCTAGAATATGGTGGATATATTTTCGTTTAAACCCAATAGTTGTATGAAGACAGAAAGAAAATGGTCCATAGTAATTTTTTCCAGTGCATTTAAGTTATAATTTGGCTTTGGCCATCTCAAACATACCAATCACCATTACAACAAAGTCTGTGACATACAAATGCAGTCCTTTTTCTGCAGACTTCCAATATAACTTTGTGTTTTCAATTTTTCAGCAGAGGCGGCTGTTTAATTGCAACACTCAAGTACAGCCATGTTCTTCAGTACAGCCATGATAACCTTCGATCTCGTTCCCCAATCAGGCCAGTCTTGGATGTCTCAACTGAACTGTTGACCAGAGACACAATCAAAGATCAGACTACTCTTGAGATCAGCATAACTGTTGACTATAGGGTCAAAGAGAGACAACTCTTATTTAATCCCTAAATAAAATGTACATTGGGTATGTGTAGCTTTTAAATTCTTCTTTTTAATACTATAAAAAAGTAGATCTGATCAGATAATAAAATGACACAAAACAAGGATTTGGGGTTTGTTATTTAGGTTGAAGTGTCACCATCTCTTTCAAAGTAATTACTACTACTGTGCTAAAAAGAAGTGTCACCATAGCATCCGATGTAATTAATATTACTGAGCTTAAAATAGGTGTCACCTTTGCTTTCAATGTGATATTACTGAGTAATTTTACCTTCATATCAACTAAGGCTTGTCAACTTGCCAAAGTGTCACCTTTACTCATGACGCAGAGAAGAACACCTGACATGATAAACAGCATCCCGAAACCTGTTTCTGAAAGTTTCATAAATGATACAGTGTTTAAACAAATATAAAGTTTGAAGTATCACTCCAATTATTGAATTTATGAGTTTTACATGTGTCATACAAATTATTGAATCTATGACTTTAACAGTGTCAGAAAAATTATTAAATTTGTCTCTTTTACAAATAAAAGTTAAGTTGTCAATAATAGATTTATGATTTGTACAAGTAAAATTAATAAGTTAGCGAATTTATACTTTTTTTTTTCCAACAAAAATTCATTGAGATTGAATGTCACAATCAGGATATGATGTTGTGACATTCCTTCCTATGTCACAAAGGCTCCATACAGCATGAAGCATGATGTAGAGCACAAAAACATGCCAGAAAAGTCCAGGTTAACTATTAACCTGGAGATGTCCCATCCATCCTCTGCACTTACTGCACAAGAACATTTTGGGCCAGAATCTGTCTTATCAGCTATCTGCACACAGCCAATTCAGAACTAGCACAAATATGATGATTAATATGGTCATTTTTGACAGATAAACTATATATATATATATATGCTGCGACATTTCTCATTTGGTACACAAACAATTTTACTTCTTCCAGTCAGCTGTTATTCACAATGATTGTGTTTTCCACCCTCGTATTTCTTCTCATGATAGCTTTTATTTTACCTAGTTCTTTATAACCCATTCTTACAAAATATAAAGACTTAAAAAATACATACGAGTCATGAGAGTTCATGTAATCATTTCAGAATGTATAAACGGTAATGAGCAACTGCATTACACTTTTAGTACCGGTATTCTAAAGACATGCTTACTCCAGGTAAGGTTCCTTTCTCCCAGGACACTTGCAGACAGTGAAGTAAATATTAGGGTCAAAGAGTTTGTGATTGGTACTGCCAGAGTCAACTCTGTAAACAAAAGTTACCATTGTGATTATTGTGTTAACAATGTGAGGATAGTGTTGCCAGAGTGAGGATTGTATAACCAGTGTGAGATAGTGTTACCAGTGTGAGGATTGTATAACTAGTATGAGGACTGTCTCACTTGCTTTTAATGTAATATTACGGTGCTTGGAATTGAATTTGAATAGTACATTGAATCGACATATACTTCCTGCTGACACAATTTGGATATTCTCGTCCCCTGCACTTATTATCATCAGACGAGACAAAAATCGAGGTGATCTGGGTCACAGTCGCCGTCGAGCTGACCCATCTCACATTGGAACAAAGCCATGCTCAAGAAACTGTTGTAGGACTTACCCTTATTCACATGAAACCAAAAACATAAGCCTACCCAAAGGTACTTTTACCATAAAAGAGGGCTTCACATGTGTTAGTCCAAATATGATCTATGCTATCATGTGCCGTAGATGCTGCTTCTGTTATATTTATATAGGTGAAATGGGAAGAAGATTATCTGATAGGTTCACTGAACATCTTTGTGTTATCAAACAAGGCAACATTTCCCTGGTCTCATACCATTACAATGGAGATAAACACAAAGGCGCATCTGACGTTTCCACCACTGCACTGATATCCTGCGCTAACACAACAGCAAAAGTTAGGAAGGAAATCAAATTAATTCAGAATTTCGGCACAATATCACAATATGGAAGCAATCAAATACTCTCCTACTAGTGATCCTCAATTTCCCTGTATTTCTTTTATTTTACATACTGGGTATTTCCAAAATATTCTTTGTCCATTAAAATCTTATACTCGACAGTTATGATACATAAATTCTTTTACCTCTTGCAGTCTTTTGGATAGCACACATATTTTGGTTTTGGACAGCCCGACTTCTGGTAATAATATAGTACTTCTCAAATACATGGCAAAGTCCAATCATGTAAGTTTTTGAACTATTTTCTATTTCTTGTTGTTTCTTGTTTTGTCTTATTTCCTGAAGATGGCTCTAGGCCAAAACATTTTTCCTTTCATTTCAAGCTTCAACATACCTTGTCCCACTATTGCCTGAATATTCAACATCAATCTAACACTGTAACAAGTTTTAATGAGTAGCAAGGTTAAATTAGAAGCTTGTCGTTGGAATCAATTTAATTTTAATATTTACAGCCAGTGCAGGATTTAGATTTACCCCTGAACCAGTGATGGAAATCTTTTAGAGACCAAATGCCCAACTTGCAACCCAAAACTCACCGATCTATCACAAAATGATATCACAACAGCTAAACCTGAATAATGAGGTTTTAGTAACTTTTAGTTTAGATACTGGGCACTTGGCTCATGTGCTGTCAGAGAGGACTCTGCCTCATACTGAGGCACATATGCTATATGCTCATGTTACGTACCATTATGAGAATAGAGAATTTAATTTTAATGTCTCTTTGACAATATGGCTCGTTGAAAAACAGTACACAACAAAAGACGATACCATAAATTAAATACAATAATAAAGAAAATGATACCCAAACTAGGGCTAATTACAATTAATAATTTTGTTACGTTAATTAAAAATTACAAAATCAAAAAGAAATAAAAACTAAAGCTATTACAGTACCGTGATGAAAAAGAAGGAACACACAGAGAGTAACTATAAATATCTTCCTCTCCTATCTTGATAGCAAATATCTCTTCCAATAGCTCAATCTCTCTAGGCGTATATATAGCCTGTTTCAGAGACATTTCTAGAACGGGCTTACACATTGTATTCCTTTCTCGATTAGTCTCGATATTTCAAAAGAATTCTAATTATACAGACCATAGATTGTTTTTAGTTGTAAACAAGGTCAAGGGAGACTATTTATAACTAAACCACACCCTTGTTGCTGTGCTGAACTTGGGGTCAGCTTAAGTTCATGCATGGGGAAAAATGATGTAAACAAGATGCCTATAATACTCAAGTGCTGACAGAGAGGACTCTGCCTCCTACTGAGGAACATATGCTGTATACTCATGCCCTGACAGAGAGGACTCTGCCTCTGTCTGATGGACAGGTGATATATGTTCACAACCACAACATTAATTAAAACCTAAAGTCTAATAAAAAGATTACACCTGAATTATTTTAAAAAGATTACCCTTAAAGTTATCATAAAACTTAAAAATGTCCAAAATTATTAAAATAAAATAAATTTTAACAAGTATAATATATTTTTAAAAATGATGTTTTTTTTTTTGCATTTGGTAGTCTTGATAAAAATTCTGAATTATTTAGACGCATGTTGAGGTCTCTACGCATGTTGAGGTCTTTACGGATTAAAAGACCCTAGGCTAATAGGTCAATCTGACCCTGATTGTGTTACAATGACACATGCAACACAAGAAGCATAAGGTCTTGAATTCTTGAACTTCCCATCCACTAAATTTATTTGACAAAACATACACTCCAGTAATGCACTCAAGTATCGCACTTAATGAGAATCCCAATTAGTAACCCCACCCCCCGTCGCAACTGCACATTTTTTTCATGCACCAGAATTAAAGTGGGTTACGAACTTAATTTTTTCCATTTGTTGTATTTTTAAGAACAGTCTAAATGAAAGGCATGGGCAAGTAATCTTTACTTGGCAGAAAATGCCCACAAGACAAAGTGCTCTTATGTCTACATAACGCATGAATATAAATATTATCATGTTACCTGCAGATGCAAGTGTTATGGGCAATTAAAGGCATGGGCAAGTAATCTTTACTTGGCAGAAAATGCCCACTAGACAAAGTGCTCTTATGTCTATAGAGAACAGTCTAAATGAAAGGCATGGGCAAGTAATCTTTACTTGGCAGAAAATGCCCACTAGACAAAGTGCTCTTATGTCTATATAACGCATGAATATAAATATTATCATGTTACCTGCAGATGCAACTGTTATGGGCAAGTAAAGGCATGGGCAAGTAATCTTTACTTGGCAGAAAATGCCCACTAGACAAAGTGCTCTTATGTCTATATAACGCATGAATATAAATATTATCATGTTACCTGCAGATGCAAGTGTTATGTAGTAGATAACAGAACCCATCTGGTTGGTTAGAAAAGACAACAGATACTGTAAGATAAATGAAACATGTGGAACATTAAATGCATCAAATGTATTTTACTCTGAATAAATTATAATACCATTAATAACATATTGATATTCCAGCCAAGGCTAATTGTCTCATATAGACTCTTCTTAGAATGTATTGCTAAGAGCCGCCCCAACATAAATTAAAAAAAACAACAATTAAACTATGGATTAGTCCCTTTTTATTTGTGGGACCCTACTCCTAGTTCTGTCAACATACGCTGAATGAGAAAAGGCAAAAACAAATTTGACATCTTTTCTACTCAATGGCCTGTTGTGCTAGCAGTGTAATGGTTGAAACACAAATTGACAATATTCTTTAATCTTTAAAAATGAATTGCAATATTTGATTAAATAATACCATAATTTGAATAAAAACAACTCAGTGTTAAAGGACTTGCCTGCCAATTGAAGAACAAAAATGTAAACTCTGAGAAAAACTGTGCAACACTTCCAACGCATTTGATCTTTTCTACCCCTTGACTGTATTGTTTTAACAGTGGGTTGGTTGCACCCCATAAAACTGCAACAACCAGCAGCCAGAAAGCATCATCTGATTTTGTTAGAGTCATACATAGTTTTATGGATTACATTAAATATTACAATGTTACTAATTACTCTTTTGTGAAGTGCACTATTTAAAGATTTAAATTTAAAAAAAAATATTGTATTCATAGTAAAGTTTGAAATTTCATTAATATATCATAATTATAGTCAACAAAATATTAAAATAATTTTAGTGTAGGTAAAAAAAAGGCTGCCTTTATAGGTACCCGGGTACCTATGGTCGCCAATGACTATTCGCACCTGGAGTGGTTCCGTACATATTAAATGGCTCCGGAGACGGGTGTGATATCAATAATAGTATGAGAATTATTTTTTAAAATTGTTTTTTCTCCTTGTTACTTCATTGATTAATTATTGATAAAATTATTATTTTTAGTTGTTTTTTTAATTTTTGCTTTGTTAATTTCTCTTAGTACCGGTAGATTTTTTTTCTTTCTCATTTTCATTTTTTAGTTTAAGCCATTTTCGTAGATCAATTATTTTTTTTTTTAAATCTAGTAATGAAGATGATTTAGATACATTTATTGTTTTCATTTGAATTTTAGAAAAGTAATAATATTAATTTAATTATTAAAATTAAATACTTTATTTAAGATTATTTATGTGTATTGTTTAAGTTAAAAGATTTAATCACACAGTACTTTATGAATTAATTAGGTATTCTAAATAATGAAAATTTCATTCATAATGAATTAATTTCAACTATTCCTCTAGAGAGCTTGGTTTAGTCAGAACAAAACCACCAATTTTAAACCTTTTCCTTGGCACTAGGAGTCATACATGCGGACACTGACTGTTTTTCCTGATATCTTGAATCTCCTTTCAACAACCTTTCTCATTTGACTTGACCTAATTCACAAGGTAGTTGCAATGAACATCTTAAAGTTAAAGGATGCCATTGTATAAAGTATGAGAAGGATTTAAACATTTAATACCAATTTTGACTATACGCAAAATGAATAAAGACAAATTTGTATTGCATTGTATTGTAACTTATTGTACTGTATTGTAAATGAAACTTGGCATACACATTAAGAATAACATTGACAACAAGTTTAAAGAAGATTATTACACAGCAGTTATTGAAGTGTTACAAATGGCATGTATGTGGAGGTCACATAAAAATTTGAGAACTCTTCAGGGGTAGCAAATGTAAAAATGTTATAAAACTTTCTAGTTACATATGTTTATAAAAAAAAGCCTCTTGAATTTCATAAAGGATATCAATGAAAAGAAGCATGCAATGTTTGAAGGCTGTAGCTAGAATACTTTTCCCCCCAATTCATTTGGCGCTCCTTAAAAATCCGGAAAATGCAAAATTGAGAAAAATGAATTTTTTTGTGTAAAATTTTATTTTTTTAAATTAGAGGCTGCATGAACGATATAATATGCATACACCAAGTACATATAACCTTCATGATTTTAAAAAAAAAGTTAGAAAACTATGACAGAAAAGATAGAAAAAAAAAATTACCACACGAACCTAATAAATAAAATACATAAATACAAACATTCTGAAAACTTTTCCTTTGAGACATTTGTTTAAAAACAATCCATCATAAAGTAAAGAATCTCAATATAAATAACCATGCAAAGTTTCAATTGTGTAGTTCCAAAACTATTCCTCCTGATTCATCAATTGATGTCAGGAAAAAAAAATGAAAATGCTATATCTATAAAAGCTGAAAAAGACACTGAAACAACATTGGATGCATACATCATGAACACTTTCCAAAAAATTATTGTGAGGTTGTAAGACAAAATTTGGTATCAAATGAAAGATAATTGAATGGACTACGTTTGTAAACTTAATTCTTCAGTTTAACTAAAGGAACGTTAACTGAAATAAACTACCACAAATGACATCCGAATAGCATTGGTCTTTTGGACCCTGGTTTGAATAGCGGCAGCCATTTATTTACACACCAAAAAGTTACACACCAGAACATTAAAAACATTCACATATTTAGTAGTTGAAAATTGTTGGGGGAGCTATCTTTTTCTTTTCAGGGTAATATTTTGTTTAACCTTTGGTCGCCCCTTTGGGCAAACTCTGTCAAAGTTAACCATCCCAAAGGAACTAATACTATTTTGAGTTTCAATTTTTTCTAAATTATTTGCAGCAACTGTTTCCTCGTGGGAAAAATGAATGTCATTTATATCAACAAAATCAATTAGTTGACTTTGAATGAAACTTGTGTGTGGTTCACCTTCATCAAGTTGTGACGCCGATTCATTTTCATCTAAATTTTCAGGACTTTTCCAGAGACTTATAGTAGTTTCAAGAAAGGATATTTTCCATACAAAATCTTGTTCTCCTTGCATCGCCAAAAAATTTGCCAAGCCCATACAAATTCTTTTAGCATGATTAAACCGACCCTCTTGAGTCTTAAAATTATTGTTTCTAGAAGATACAATTTGAGAAGTTACTGAACCACTAGAAGTAGAAGCAACCACTCTAGGAACACTATGTTTGTTAAAACAGCATGGAATTAACTCTGAACAAAATTCTGGAAGCTGTAAATGTCTTGGAACTGAAAAAATATGTCTGCAAGGTAATGCCATCTTTTCAGCAAATGAACAATTACATTGAACTGATGTTGAGCTAAAAATATGTTCCTTATAAGCTACTGAAAAAACTTCTGCTTCTCCAGGGACAAGAGAGTACGGAATAGATTGTGACAATTTGAGCTGATTGAGCAATAGAGCAGCAGCAAAGGAAGTAGCAACACTTTCAATCTTATTTACACTTTCATCATTATCAGATGACGTATACTGAGCTGTGTTTGCAGCAAGCAATCTTTAACGATCACATACTGTAATTTTGCAGTTGTCAAAAGACATAAGGTTACGAAGAGCAGATGAAAAGGAAAGATGAGTCAAACTCTTTTTTATTTTGGCATGATAAGACTCCTAGTGATTTTTTGTTGCATGGAGTCTTAAAACATCAGCATTGGATGATGCTGCCCATAAATGGGCCTTACTCCACCAGTTCGACTCAAAATACTCCAAAGCTACACCAGGAAGAGTATTTTTCATGTCTTGCATCAACTTAAAAAATTCAACACACTACTCAGTATAAACTTGAGACATAAATCCTTCAATAATTGGCTTAACATGCTCAGGACCTACACATTTCGAAAGAAACCTGTGCACAGCCTGGTTAATGTGAAAATGACATAGTTTAACAGGTACATTTGGAAACAGATCATTTATAGCAGAGATTTCAGCCATGTCTTTGTCAACCACAAAGCACTTGAAAAGACTGGCATCAGAATTCTTCAGAAGAAGCTGCAAACAAAGAGAAATAGATTCCTTATCTTCATTTTTTTACAAAACCATGAAGAACAGGAATGCCCCTGCCCTCTCCATCAATAACCATTACAGTCAAAAGTGGATATAAATATTTATTGGTTTTATATGTGAAATCCATTAATAAAACCTCTGGATATTGGGCAATAATTCTAATCATATCATCAGTCATGTATGATAAATACTTAAATTCCCCACTTTCTGTTAGTCCATAGGACACACTTCCACCAGCTTGTGATATAGAATGAAGTATAGATTGAGTTTCAGTTGCATCAGAAGATGATTTATTTATTCTTGACTTAATATCGTAAATATCCCTGGGAAGCAAATCCACATCATGCTGTTGTTCAAGCACTTGTCGGGCCTCAGGTGCCTGAATTGTGGTGCATGACATCAACAGAAGCGTTGCCACATTTAGTTCCACCTTGCAGTTTTCCGGATACAAGCGGAACATCTGGAAAAAAAAACACACAAAGGTTACTTTGCAATAATAAGTATTATGTAAAAAAATATGCCCTGCAAACATTATTATTATTATTATTAGTGGTCTTATAAAATGTTCCCTTTAAGCTGTGCTACCGCGCAGCCGTCTCACAGGCGCTGCGCAGCAGTTTTGAGTATCCGCGCAGCAAATTTCCCTGTAAGTGTGTGTTTATGTTTCTGGACTGTAAAATTTTGCACAAAAAAAATTGATGCTGTAAAACTTTGCACATAACTGTATGATTTTGCACACAAACCAACAAACCTTGGAGGGAACATTGGTCTTTATATAGCGCGGTACCCCAGCCTAGGGCTCTTAAAAATAACTAACCTTCGCCTTGGGGATAAATGTTTTTAAGTTTATTATATGTCACAATAATCAAAATTAAGATATAAATCTCTGTTTGAACTATTTAGAATTTATTAAATTTAATTATACTGTTAAATAGATTTTTCTTAATTTTTTTCAAAACCTTTCTATGGTAAGGGTGGTAACCCTAACCTTAACCTAAAGTTTTCAGTGATAAAATTTCTGAGCGCCCTAGAATTGAATGGGTTAATAAATGGTACAAAACATTCTTTTAAAATGCATCCATCTCTAACTCTATAGTACTAGAGTACCTGTAGGTGACATCAACCTGCCACAAGAATATGCTATTTATTATTATTATGTAAATATTTTTCGCAGCACATGCACTTACTTCTTTTGATACTTCATGGCCAGTATGTTCATGCATTGATTGATTTGGTAATTTCTAGCCGAGATGGATTTCTCTTGGCAACAAGCTTTATCTTTGTCTGGCATCCCAATTTGAAAGAACTGAAAAATATAAAAATTCTCAACGAATTGCCAAAAGTGGTAAGGGCTGATGTGGAGCACGAATGCCATGGCGTCATTTGCTTCTTTATTATAGTTGCAGTGAATTAGGGTTCAGGTTAGGTTGAGGGGTCGATTTGGGTCTAGGTTAGGCATAGGCATGGCATAGGGATCGATTTAGGGATACATTATCATTAGTAGCGGCCATTATCGATAAAATAGTGGCATTCGTCCTCTACATTTACCGTGGTAATAATCATTGGCTTGGAGAAAGAATTATTACATGACAAGTCCAACTAAATTTAAAGTTAACCTATTAGTATTACTTTATTACTTACGCTTGTGATTTTCTTTGGCCTGTTGTCGTTGAAGACTTTGACTTGCGTTTAACTCCTTGTTTGCAACAGTGAATTATATATTCATATTTAAGGTGTTCCAAATTGAGATCTTTCATCGTCTCTGACGATCTTTTAGTGAAACATACCTTGTGTTCTTTACAAACATAATTCAATTCGTCTTCAAAAGACGCATAGGTGTCAAAAATTTTGCCAACCTCCATTTTTATAAAAGAAAGCGCGGCAGACTTGTCGATTAGTAAGCCTCTGTTTCGCAATCATTTTTTTTTTTCGATTACTAAGACTTTCGGGTGCGAATAGTCATGGGCGACGATGGGTACTCGGGTACCTATAGCCACTTTGATATTAGAAACTGCCACCCACGGAAGTAGGGAAAGGGTAGGGGAGGACTGCCCGCCCCGTGAGAAATTTTGGGTTCGCTTCAATTACTTTAAACAACTTATTTTTCTCTTTGTGTCTTCTCTTTACTTAGCATGTGGAGGGGAGAGGGAGGGAGGCAATACATACGTGAGACTTGGATCTGCCAGATTGTATTTCTTTCGCACAAAGGACTCCCCCCCCCCCATGTCATCATCATAAGTGGCGTTACAGACCATGCAAAGTTGATCAAGTTGAACCTAAAGACCAGATATGGGTTTCAGGTGTCCAAGATATAGGCCTTTGTCTATTTCCTGGCCACCCCACCCCACAGTCCCACTCTCCCCTGCTCCTCAGTGCCACTCTCCCCCACCCCACAGTCCCACTCTGCCCCACTCCTCAGTCCCACTCTCCCCCGCCCCACTCTGCCCCGCCCCTCAGTCCCACTCTCCCCCGCCCCACAGACCAACTCCCCTCCACCCCCACAGTCCCACTCTCCACCGCCCCACAGCCCAACTCTCCTCCACCCCCACGGTCCCACTCTCCCCC